GTTTCTATTGCATAACAAACAGTAAATGAAAAAGATACTATTTCCTGAGTCTTTGTTTTCCCTTACTTGCCTGTGAGACATTTCTGCCTTAAAAAAGTTGGTGTGCTGTGCACTCATCGTATCGGCAGGCTCTCTGCTCCCTGCTTTTGATTGCAGTCAGTTGTGCTATCAGCAATTTAGCAGATAAGCACATCTCAGTTACAGTAGTATGAGAAATGGTTGCAACCCTTGTGAAGACTAGCCTTTAATGTTGTGTGTCCTGTCGCTGCAGTTTAACTACTTCTCCAAGTACTAAGGTAATATTTAAAATGGACATAATATGCGCTGATGCAGATTTAAACTTAATTTTTGTGAATACCATGAGATAACGAGGAAAAGTATGCATGCTCCTAGCTTCTTTGAAGAACACATCTATGAGGAGAAAAACACTGCCTGTTTAAAAAAAAAAAAAGAGCAAAGTTTTGTTTTTGAAGGGTACAACTTGTCTATATTCTGATGTATATGTGCAGAGAGATGTTTTGTTTGCTTGTGCAAACTGGGCCAGTGGGCCCATTATTGCTGTAAAGGAAGCTTGGTTGAGCCGTATTTGTGTTCTTCGTTCTCTGCTACTCACATCACCAGGTCTTGAATTGATGCGTTTCCGCTTGCTTTCCTTTTTATTACTGTGTTGTGGGGAAACACAGATGGCTGTCTCCTTAGCTTTAGTATAGGGGCAGGAATGCGGGGAAGGCGTGTTAGAGTGTCAAAGTAATTGTGAGCTGTAAAACAGAGGAGGAAGAGAGCTGGTCAAACCAGTTGTGTGAGTGCTAAGAGTCCTGTTACAGCAGCAGAAAGTTTGACAAGCCAGGGACAGAAAGCTTTCCATATGCCATGCTAGATGTGTGGCAGTTTCACAAGATGGCTTGTTATTCAAGGTATGCAGGCAGGCAAGCTTGGGCTGGGCTAATCTCAAAATGGTACTTTGAGAAGTTCCTACCCTGGGCGTTCTAAGTTGACTTGGTAGTGATTACATTCTCCCGTGGCCTAGGCAGCAGAAGGGACATGCTGTGAGGGTGAGACAAACATCACATGGAGGGGACTGAGGAGCAAGACGCTTCTGCCATACTGTTCAGATGATGATCAGCCCTGGGGAAGGAGCAGAGCAAATGGTTGAAGGTAGAAGCTTAGCAAAACAGTGCAAGAAGGTTGGCCAGTGCTCACCTGGCACTTTGCTATCACTCAAGATACTGTATGCTGACCTACCATGATTTGCTTGTCCGATGCATTAACAAGATATCATTACAGAAAACAGCTGATCTGCTTGAGTCAGGATTTGCCTTTTATGATTACTTTTGACGCTTTCTGAAGTCATCATGAAAGACACTAAGCTATTTTGTTTCCTTAGTGCAGTATTTTGTAAGAGTGATACCACAACCTTATTACTTCCCTGATTTTGGGACAGTCACTTATAAGGATGGGTAGGATAATAGAAGATGGATATAAAACCTGGAAAGACATGGAGCTGCTATCAAATATATATTTGGTGTCCAAATATTATCTGGGACTTGCTGTATTTGTATGCTTGATGTGAAACAGTCAAATACTAGCAAGTTTCATTTCAACTAGCTACTGCTGGGCTGGCAATGTTGATCGTTTTAAGCTGCTTTCACACAAAACCTTTTGCTTACAAAGCAGGAGGCTTTTCTTTAGTTTTCTCTCTCTGGCCTTATAAAGGAGGTATCTGCTATATCCAGTTGCCTGAGGTAGGCACGACAAACTTTGGGTATTCAAGAGACATTTGAATATCAAGATGGACTTGCATTGGCAGTTGCTCCACATAATTTCTTTGTCTGGATATTTCTGATGTGAAGATAAATTGTCATCCTATGATGAATTGTTAAGTTTTGTTTCTGTTTAAAAGTTAGCACTTAGAACATGAAAACTAGTACTATCCAGCGGCAGTTGGGAAAAAGAAAATCTGAGGTTGTGAAAAGATTCAAATATATTTGGGCAGATAAAGTTAAAATCCAATGTATTGGAATTTGAAAGGCTGTGAACATTCTTAATGTGGTAAATTATATTCTGGGTACCACTGAAAATTAGAGTAGGTCTGCAGGAAACACTGAATCATCGTAATTTACTTTTCATGCTTTAACGGATTTGTATAGTTGCTATTCAAATTCCCCACGCATTTGATACAAAACCTATGCTTTATGATTGTTATTAAGTAAGATATTATGTATATGGAGTTGGTGGCATTTTATTGCTCTGCAACTGAGTTATGCAAATAATTGTATTTCTGCTTCCACATAGATTAATCTTTCTCTCTAATACTAATTCACAGTATTATTTACAGAGGGAAGTAACACAATAAGATGAAAACTTAATATCCTTCCCAATGTACTGTCTTAACAGGGCTGTATTTTTCACCTGTTGCTTTCATATGAAGAGAAATACCGTCCAGTTTGCTGACTGGACTGGAGATTTTAGCTATGGTAACCAACATGAAAGTTTGCATATCTGACTTTACCACTTCTTTTCTTGTGGGAGTGGTGAGTTGCAGCAGCTGGGCAGTGATGAGCAGCTTTGAGGCAGTAATACATCAAACAACTGCACATTTTTTGGGTTTTATAACACTTTAGAAAGTACTTTAGAAAAGGCTTAAAATGAGCCAAGCCCTCTGATCATTCCAGAGAAAGTGTCAGCGAGAACTTAGACTAGAGTAACTGTTATAGAAAAAAATTGCACCTCAGCTTTATACTAATACAGTCTCTTTCTACAGCTGAGCGTGTGGATTATAAGCTACCTGCGACAAGAGGGAACAGACACTAGAAGGTGAATTTCTCTTCCCTCTTAACTGCATCATTTGCAAATGATCTTACGGTTATTGACTGTGTTAAATGCACCAATCTCAAAACATTGCTTTTTTAACAGCTTTTTAATTAAGCAGGAACTAGTGTGTTCTGGTACTATCAAACTGAATGCTTTTTCTTGCAGTTGTGTTCATTATCTTTGCTTGCAGATTGAGATCGTCAGTAGGGTTGTTTCTTTTGTTTGTTTTATTTTAGAGTAACAGTAGTACATTGTGAACTTTCATTACTAGCAGAAGTTGTCAAAAAGTAGATAGGTACCAAAAGAGCAATTGTTTTGGCTGCACAAACCAATTGCATCGATTTGTTGTCTCCAGTGTTGATCTAAGCATAAATCCTTTGATACAAAGGGGAATCGGAGATTTTATTAGTATCAGAGATCTGTTTGTAAAATGGGGAGTCCTTGTAAGAGTTTCACATTGTATATAAACTCACATTCACCATCTCTATTCTCATTTGTAGCTTTCCTTGCCACTTGCTTTCTGGTTCCTGTTGATTTGTACTGGGTTTGGGGCTGTAGCACTGAGGTTTTTTGCTTTCAAACAAAAAAGGAAAAGTGGTTTGCTTGTTACTTAAGAATGTATAATTGTCATTTGATGATTTGTGACTGTTGTCCAGTCGTGACATGTTCCCTTTCATACTTTCAGCCTTATGCTCAGTTTTCCTTATGCTTTCCTCTTGTTGATTAACTGGCAGTTGTAGCCCAACTGTTGGTTTCAGATACTAGTGGTAGATTTTTTGTTTGATGGTATTTCCTTGTAGAAACAGCTGCTGCTTTTTTTCTTATCTGATTTCTATACCTAATAGTGAAAGGTGATAGTGGTAGCAATTAGTCACAGACCTAATGGGATTCTCTGTTCTAACAATGTAAGCCTCAGTACTAAGTGTTGGTTAATAAGGCAGGACTCTGGAGGAGTGGAGCCCCGCAGCACAAAGGGTTTCCTTTCAGACTGTGTCAAAGTGCAGGGCCTGGAGCATGTAGCTGAATGACTTGGACTGTGTGACTGTGTAAGAGAAAGCTAAACAAATGAGAAAGCAAGTATGGAAACAAGCTTGGTGTTGCAAGATGACAAGGTTACTACTTCCTTTGAGATACTTGTTGGAATAGCAGAGTTGAACTTATAAATGAAAAATTTGCCTTGTTATTAAAAAGTCTAATTTATCCAGTATCGGGGAATAGGGTTGCATCTAAAAGTTATGACTGCTGTAATGAATTTCTCCTAACGGAAATTATATGATAAGGGCTTCTTGTGCTTGCTAAAAATGCCAGCAGTCTTTCCAGACACCTGACCATCTGGGATTCCTGAAAAAGAAGATACAAGCTTATACCCAGGCTTAATACCCATAAGTATTCTGGCTGTTTGGATCTCAATATGGTGTCCTTCTAGAAGAACACTTTCTACATAGCTTTTCAACTCCTCAAATGTTTGCTCTGCAAGCTACTTTTTCCTTCTAGAAGAACACTTTCTACATAGCTTTTCAACTTGCTTTGCAAGCTACTCTTTGAAAGAGCAAATCTGCTGCAGGCCATCTGTGCTCTTCCAGCACGGGATTTTGGCTGCTTGAAAGCAGATGGAAAAAGAGAACCTCACCCCCATCCTCCCCCAGCCCCTTCCTTCCTTTAGGTTGCTGGGTACAGATACATTTTGCTGTATGGGTGGTGAGGACATGACAGTAAGGAAATTGTATATTCTGGCTGGATGAGGGAGTCACCCTATGTTGTAAAAATGAGTAGACCAAGGCATATTACTGCTTTCAAATAGTGTACAGGAAAATGAAAGCTGTAAGGCTCTAGATTTTTTTTTATTTGTTCTCTTGTGTCTGAGTGTTTTTCAGAAGTGTGATGACTTGGGCTTTTTGTGGACTTAAATCAAAGAATTATTAATTCTAAAAAGCTCTGCTTTTTTTATTGGCATTTGTCTCACTACTTCCTGTTTGCTATCCTTGATTTCTCACCTTCTTTTAGAAAAACTTATACTGGAGCATTTACTTAAAAGTTAGGCTGGAAAATCAACAAACTCTGCATAACACGTATCTAAATGTTTTTGCCCTTTGAATTTTACTTTCTAGTAGCCTTTCTTTCCCCTCTCTCAATCTCTTTTAATTTTGAATATAATATTTTGTGTAATGTGAATTCTACTTCTAGATTTCCAAAGGAAAATGATGGAGGGATATTTACCAGAAATGCAAAGCATGCTGGAACCAGTCAATCTGTTGGACGACGCCTCTTCCAGGTCCCCACATAATGAGAAGTCTGATAAAACATCTGGAATGAAGGACTGCTCAAGCATTAGTTATACTGGAGATGATGCTGGTGTCTTGGAAAGGGAATCGAGGTTGTTGCCCTCAGACCAGGATTCAACAGTTATTGGCAAAAGCAACAATGGAGCCCTGGCAGAAAGACAGGAGCAGCAGTGTGGAGGGGCAGACTGCTGTGCCAATACCTGCTCTGAAAGAAAGCTGGAAGGCTTCACAAAACCGGAACATGTATCTAGTGAAGAATTTGAACGACAAGATCCAAAAACTAATCAGACAGAACAGTCATTAATGGAAATATTACAGGAGCTAAGGGAGGAGTCTGACTTTGTGAAAAAATCTAGCAATAAAATCTATTCAGAAAGCCCTTATGACACAGACTGCACAAAGAAGCTTATTTTCACAATACATCAGACTTCCTCACAGGAGGATTTGCTAAAGGAAATAGAGTCTGAACTCTTATCTACGGATTTTTCAAAGGAACGAAAAGTCCCAAATGGTGTGCAGAAGGGAGAACATGCCTTGGTTGTGTTTGAAAAATGTGTGCAAGATAAGTACCTGGAGCAAGAACAAACTATAAAAAAGTGAGTATTTGAGTATGCTCATCACAAATGGAGGTGTGTACTGAACAAGTTTGCTTGCATGTTGTGTGCAACGGCATACAATATTTTGGTATGAAACAAGTAGTCTCTTGTGAGTTGTTTTAAGGACAGTTAATGAGCTTTTTTAATTATGTTCTTTAAGGAATTATTTTTACTTGTGGTATGTACTTGCAAATAAAAATGTGTGCTTAGATCTCTGAATTCTTGTGGAATTTGGCAGGAACTGAATAGCCAACTGTTCAGTTGAATAGCCTGCCAACGTCTGGAATTACTTAAATACTGTAAAAGTAATGGTGATATAAAAATAGTCCAGGATTCATTCAGTCCATATATGTCTTTGGAGAAATGAACCTTTGTAATTACTAACTCCCACTATGTGCGTTTCATTTATGAGTTTGAAATTGCTTGTTTCTTTTTCAAGTAGTATTCAGTCTCCTGTCATAATCCAGCAAAGTTGCTAATCAGTCGAGAGCTATTCTTTGAGTTGGAAATGTCATATATAGATAAACTTGTCTATATATAGATAAAAAATGTCTTACCACATTTTATACGAGGGCTTTTGAAATGCATGGCTTATAAACTTTGCTGTAATAAACTGGGCTTAATAATTCTACCAGGCAGTACACTACCTGAAGAATATTATATTCATGAAAAGCCAGTTCATTGCGTGATTTCTTGATTCCTCACTTGGTGTTTCATATTCTGTTACCACTTTAGAAATGTTTTTTGCTAGCAAAATGTAGCCTCTAACTTCAAATTTATTCCCACTTGCAGAGCTAGAAATGAGTGTCCTACTCTTCATATAAGGCACTCAGATAACCATGGTATGGGAGGACATCAAAGGGAGGGAAGCCAGGCAGAGGGAGGGATGCCCAGTGGGGAAAGTATTCTCTTGCACCTCACCAATTAACTTCTGACAGAAATCATAAATGTGAGGAAAGTCAGTTGATGACAGGAAAGGTTGGGAATGCATAGTTAGACATTTAGTAATTACGAAGGAGGAGGAGTAGGAATCTGAAGTGGTGGGTGTGTAGATGGTTTTAATTCCAGGAGATCATAAGTGAACAAGTTACTTGGGTTTTACTTGCTTATGGTAAACTCAAAGGCAGGTCAGTGTTTTCAGCCATGGACCAACTGCTTTCTTAGAGACAAATGTTTATATAAATATATGTATATATTATGTATACACACAGAAGTTTTTTCTATAAACATGTCTTCAGTCTCTTTTTTTTTTTTTTTTGCTAGCTGCTATCCCAGCTGCACCCCTTTGACTCTTGGGGACTGACCTCAAGAGTGTAAAACTGCTGTGGAACATTTTGTTTGGTCCAAAGGGCATTCTGGGTTGGGCTGATTTTGTCCCTTAGTTTATGATCAGCAGAATTTCTTGTAACGTGGCTTTGGAAATAGCCCAGTTGTCTCCTGTGATCAGATCTAAGATATATCGGTGAGCAGCAATTGTATGAATTAAGAATTTGTAATCCTGGAATACTCATTAATAGATTAAAAAATAGTTCAGAAGTGCTAAGCTCTTTCACTGATGGTTTTGAATTCCTTGTAACTTGGAAGCCTAGTTTGTTTAGAGATCCCCCCCCCCCCCCCCCCCCCCCAAAGGAGGGGAGCTAAAGATGAAAGTATATGTAAAGGATTATTTAAATATCTTGTTCAGGTAAGTGCATGCCTCCCTAATTCATGCAATTAGTGTCCTAAAATATCCACCATCTAACTGTATCTTTAAACATTTAAATACATTTGAGACTGTTTATTCAGCAGTTCTAACAATGTAACTTCTGAGTTTTATGTATAACTATCTTCTATTGCAGTGCTAGAAGGTCAAACTAAATACATGTCAGCTTCAACTCAGGCTTCAAGCAGCTGAGCTGCAAAGGAACAAGCTATTGCTAAAAATTTGAACTTTATAAGGAGTATGAGCATGGACGCTGTTGTAGTTACATACCCACTTAGGTCTTAGAAAATTGGGGTTCCTTTTCTTACCAGGTTCTGAACTTCAAGGGCTACTCTGAGCAATCCATGAAATGAGTACAGTACCTGTGTTTTCAGATGTTTGACTGGTGGAGCTATCTGACTGGAAGTTACTTGTAAGACAAGTACCTTAAAATTGTTAACATTTACAGTTCTGTAGTTGCATAAAGGTACCAAATGTCTCACTTCATCATGGACAATAACAACCCCAAAGTGCTGGAAACAAGCAGTTTGCTCACAAGGAAGATGCTGCTTGCTGGTCTGGAGTTGTTTCACAAGCACAACATACTTCTGTTTTGTTTTTTTAAGGCTTTCATGGATTTCATTAGTGTTTCTGGCTGTAACTCCCAATAAAATTTGCAGATCAAAGAGGAAAAAACTTATATCTCAAAATTAAAAACAAACAAACAAAACCAGTACTGAAGTATCTTGCACTTAATTTATTTTTTTTTTTCTTTACAGATTGATTAAAGAAAATAAAAAACATCAGGAACTGATTTTGGAAATTTGCTCAGAAAAGGACAACTTAAAAGATGAATTGAAAAAACGAACAGAAACAGAAAAGCAGCACCTCAACATTATTAAACAGGTACAGATAAAACAGAAGTGCTGGTTAGTATCTCACCTGTATACGATGTCACTACTGCCACTGTTTAACAAGATGTCCTTGGTAGCATAGAGGAGAAGGAAGGAATGCCCGTGCTTATTATCCTAAGCTTTTTAAGAGGATAAATCTGCTCTTCCATTCCAAGAAATATTATTCATTGGCTAAAAGTGTTTAGTGTCTTTTGGATAAACTGACTTTCTAGATTTAGATCACTTAAGTGTTCTGTATCTGGAAGTCTCTCTTAAAGTCAAGAGAGTTTGTGTTTGGTGGGTTGCCATGGTGGGTAGGTTATGTGTACCTTGGCTTCCTGCTGGAGACAGAGTATGTTGAAGGCCTGTTAGACCTTTTTACAAAAAATGACAAGTTCATAAATCATCCTATCAGGATGATAGGATGATTTATTTCTTGTATGTAGACATAAAGGAGATCTTATGCAAGTGTTTTATCAAGCCCAATTTCTTAATTTGTCATCTTTATCTTCTGTTGTTAACTACTGCATCTGCTAATAGAAGTGGATGGGTGTGTAGTTACAGTTGTAGACGTTAACAGTATGTGGAACGTGTATAAAGAGTAGAGCATGTTAACTGTGGTCTTGCACATTATTTTGGTATTATGGGTTACCGTATACAGGCATTTCCCCAGTGAATTGTTAGAACCATGACAGGCAAAAGGGGAACACAGAGTATGCCTTGGTGTAGGCTGGTTTTAGTGAGGGAAGAAAAGGTACCGCATCAGGTGTCATTGCTTGTCTGTTACAAAGTTACCTGCTAATGTTCCTACAGTTGGTTGGCCTGGCTTTATAAACTGATTACAGCTTAGAAATCTGGCAAGAGATAGCATTTAAATTACTAATTTCTGTTTGTCAAAGTACTGGTAATACTACCCTAGTTGTCAGGTTTCTCTGTTAATGTCTGCATCACACAGAAATCTGTTCTTAAAGCAGCGTGTCAGGCTTGTGGTCTTCCAGAGGAATGTATTGATGTAGGTAGAAACTTTGGTTAATTTCAAAGAATCTTTGAAAATCCATGATGTGATTGAAAATGGAATTAAAAAGTCTTATTTTGAAGCTACAAATTGGAATTGCATATGCCTGAATAAATCAGTATGAGCAGCTTACTCATTCTCGCTTGTCTGTATTTCCATGATAGCACTGTATGATTTCATGAAGCTATATTATGCAGCAATTGCTTTATCCCATTCTGGAAAAAAAATATTTGTGAGCGAGTTTCTTCTGTTTTCTGGTCAGATAAGAATGATCTGTGATATTGCATGCTTGCAGGTGATTTCAGAAAATACTGGTTTGGAGTGTAATGCTTTTATATTGTAGTTGGATAGCACCTGGAGTTGTAAGAAAGATACATTGCAGTGAAACACTTGAGGTTTTTTTGTTTGTGATGTGAGTGTGTTAATGTTACGATTTCTAAATTAGTGTTTTCTGGTAGCTTTCAAGTCAATGAAGGCTTGGCTGCGGTCACAACTGCAAGCAAACTGCACATGCATGCTTGTATGTGTAAAACTTATTTTTTATGGGCAATGATTCTTTTGCAAAGCTGAAGAGGGTGTGATCAATTCATTGTGTGGTAACAGAAGCATTTTAGGTTGTTCTTGCCTTTTATGTAGCGGTTTGGAATTGCACAAAAATTTTAAGATACTGACCCTGATTTTAAGATAGTGACCCTGCACTTTTTTACACAGCACCCACCCCCCCAAAACCAAACCAAACAAAACTAACCTTGGTGAATTTGCTTTCTCCTGGAACAAGAGGATAGTCATTAAGGCACAATTTGAAAAACCTTTGGGCAGCATTACAGCTTACGTAGCCACCACTTGCTTTTGCGCTAGTGCTGCTGCTTTCTCTACTGAATTTGCATGACTGTGCAGTTAACATGCTCTGGGAAATGTTCCAGTTGAACATTGGTAATTATTCTTCAGCTGGATCAGGTCTCTGACTTGGTTCACCAGGCAGCTAAAAAAAGTGCCAGCACAATGACTAAGTGCCTCTTTATTTGCTGAGTTATTTTTCAATGAATTAATTCCCAGTCTAGTTCAGTATGGATGCATAACTGCTTTGCTGGCACGGTGGAGAATATGGCACAGCGATAGCAACCAAAGGGTGGAAGGTGAAGCAACTTCAGAGAGCAGCCAGCTCTGCTCTGGCATTTCAGCATTTGTTGTCAATCTAATTTTTTGTGTAGTAAATTACTATACCTTGTGTTTTACTTGATTTGATGCATCTTCAGTCTCACTGAAGATGAGAATTGACATCTTTCATGCTTGTACTGCAATGCAAAGCTAGATGTTGATACGGATAGTTGCAGCTTGACAAGTGCAAAATACAGGTAAATATCTGTTGAAGCATCTAACTTTGTGTGAAGTGTTCCTGCCTGTACAAAACATGATCAAAGTCTTATTTCCCTATAATTATATCATAATGTTGTCTTTTAGCTGGAAGCAAGAACGGAAGAGCTTAATAAAGAAGTGAAAGCTAGTAAAGACAAACTTTTAACTCAAGATTCAGCAGCCAAAAACGCTATTCAGCAGTTGCATAGAGAGATGGCCTTTCGAATGGAACAGGTAATAATGGAAAACCTTTAATTATTGAACATCTTGTGAGCAAACTTGGTTCTTGTAGGAAACATGCAGCCTAGGTTGTTAGATCACTAGGTAAGACAAAATTTTCCAAAACTGGAACTACTAGCGTGCAGTTATACATGCATTTTTGATAACTGGTATCAGTGAATTTCTAAATAGCTGTTAACATTCTAGAGTGCCTGATAAATCTCTTTAATGTGTATGTTTGTATTTATGGAATTCAGCCCTCAAGGAAATCTCATTTTCCTTGCCTGTAAGCTGATACTGGTTCAAAAGGAGGTAAAAGCTGGCAGTGGCTTTTTTCAGACAGGCTATCACAAAATTAATATTTTTCTCAACTCCAGCACAAAGTTCTTATTTTGTCTCATGTATTAGTGAGAGTTGAGATTTTTTTTTTTTCTTCTTAATATCATATGTTGCCAAGTATTTTCTCTATTGTATGAGCTCTAAAGCTCAGTGCCTGATTCTTTTTTTTATTTGAAGCAGAATTTATTAGTGCTGGGGTGGGGGGAATCTGTAAAAATAAGCCACTGGATAATGATTGTGCAGTTGGCACGTGGATGAGGGAAGAAAGAGGACTGGTACTGGGTGTTTGCAAAATTGTTTTGTTACTACAACTTACTTCCTTCTGAAACAACAGATTATATTCCAAATTACTAATGTAGTGATAACTCATTTGAGATGTTTAGCTGTGAAGCTGCAGCTGCTTAGATGAGTATTTACTGTTAGAAGTATGAGTAATTCCAGTACTTAAGTGGGATCTAATGTTAGTCTTTGCAAAACTGGAACTTTTGGGTCCTACTTTGTTATGCTACTATACTGCAATACTGAAAATATCCAGTAGTGTCTTATAAAAGCTAATTAAGAAATACAAGGTTGATTCATTCTATTTTAATATTTTTTCAAGGCAAACAAGAAATGTGAAGAAGCACGCCATGAAAAGGAAACAATGGTGATGAAATACGTCCGAGGGGAGAAGGAGTCACTTGACCTCCGAAAGGAAAAGGAGATACTTGAGAGAAGAGTGAGAGATGCAAACAAAGAAATTGAAAAGCATACTAATAAAATCAAACAACTTTCTCAGGAAAAAGGAAGATTACACCAGCTCTATGAAACTAAGGTGCTCTAAGTATTGCTGTATGACTTGAGTGAATGATTAAAAGTACTATCAGAACAATCTTATCACTTGTTTGCTATTGTACTTGGTGAAAGAAACCTGTTTTCATTTGGTTCTCTGTATAGCTGTGAAAACCCCTTTTCTCCAAGGGAAGGGGAAGAAGTTACTGAGTTCTCATTGTCATCTGAAATTCCTTTTAATATTTCCCTGAATATTAGTTTGTGAAACACTAGGGGGTTTTTTGACAAAATTGAAAAGACTGTTTGTTGCAGATGCCTGGATTTTGCAGGAATTTCTAGCTTGTTTGGATTCTTTTTTAGAAGGCTGTAATGGCATTAAATTATTGCAGTCTCTTTTGCTATTTTTCTGTGGTTTCACTCTCTATTTTCTCTTTTGTACTACTAAAAATTGGTAATAAAGCAATAGGATTTTTCAGGCCCAATTCCAAAAATCTGCCATTTTTTAGAAACTAGTAAGAGATTCCCACCAGCCTCTTAAAATTATCCAGGTCTTTCTGTATTGTGCTTCACAATTCAATTTCACATGAAAGATCAAAAAATTGATAAATTAATGGGGTTCAGACTTTGATTTGGGCCTCTTCTGAGCAATTGTACTATGCACAAAACGATCAGAAAAATACATCTTAATAAAAGTCCTAAAAATTACGCTTCTGAAACAAAAAATCACCTCAGTGTCCTCTTCCACATGAACAGGAAGTGGGAGCATGACTTCAGGTTTCCTAAACAAAACTTAACATACTATCTATCTTCATAACTCCTGAGGATTACACTAGAGCCTTACGGGAATTGTACTGCCCTCATACAGTGCTGCTTTAAACTTTTTTGGTAAGATGAACCTATTACTTCAGAAACACAGTTTGGAAATTTGGCTTAATGCAGTGGTTTGTGGATAGTGGTATAGAAGGTTATGCCAGCAATGTGCTTCTGTTAACATCCTTTCTTCTCACTGACTTACAGGTTAGTGATTTGACTTGCATACGTTTTGCTGTCAGTGCTCATGCTAGTCTGCACCTCTGTAGTTGGTAATACCATTCCATCGGTGTCACAATTTTTGTCTGTAGCTGTGTATAATATGACCTTACCACTTTGAACCTGTGTTTCCTCATCCTTTTGCCAAAGAACAAAGAGGACTGTGCAGCTTACCCAGGAGATAATTATTTTAGATCAGAACTCTAGACTGTACTTTGCCTTTTAACAGATATGTAACATTAATGTATATTAACAGTAATGCAGCCTTACCTTGCTATTCAAACCAGAACACTGATGACTTTTTTTTCACCACTGGGTTATGGGCTAAAGCATTATTAAGCACTCTCAAGTCTGTGCATGCTTTTGCAAAATCCAGACAGTAAGAAAAAAAACCCCCAAACCTACATTTGACACTTGAGCAGGAGTCTTGTTGTAGAAGCACTGGATGATTTAAATCTATAAAATAAAATCTATGAAATCTTCTTAGGATGGTGAAGCCACTCGACTCAACAGAGAAATAGAAAAATTGAAAGAAGAAATCAATTCTCATCTTATCAAAGTAAAATGGGCTCAGAACAAACTGAAAACAGAAATGGATTCACACAAGGTTAGTGAAGTGGTACGGGTACTGTGACATGAAAATACAGTCAGAGGAATGTAGTTGCTCTACTGTTTACTTTTTATATAGTACTAAAATCTGTTTCTAAAGTGGTTTTTGTTTAATTTGAATACCTGCAGCAAAAGTCAGAATAGTGCTCTTAAAGATATTGATACGGAAATGTTGAAAGGATGTGAGGGGAAGATGTATCGGGGGGATTCTGTTTAATCTGGTGATAAACTTTTTCTTTGGTTTTTTTTGTATGAATTAACTGTTGTCTTAGTTTAGTTTTTATGTGATAGAGTTAAATCTACCATCTGAAAATGTGCATGGCACGTAACCAAGAGGTCCTTTTGTTGTGCTTTCAGTGTTGGAACAAACAAAATTGCATAAAGTAATAGTTGAATGGAAGCAAGAAGAAAAATAATGCTGGACATATTTTTGTTGTTGTTAATTCTTCCCAGACTGAAATAGGAAACTTTCATTATAAGAAATGCTTTTCCCACATTAAGTTAGATAAATAGGTTTAACCCATTTATTACTGTTTTTGTAGGAAACCAAAGAACGCCTCAAAGATGCAACGACAAAATTGACTGAAGCAAAAGAAGAAGCAGACCAGATAAGGAAAAACTGTCAAGAAATGATAAAAACTTATCAAGTAGGCACACTTTCTCAGGAGGTGAAATTAGTGTTTAGCATCTGGGTCTTTTTCCTCCCTTTCTATCTTAAGCTGTAGCAGGGAGGAATTATCCTGTGCGAGCTACAAAGCTGAGATGACTAGTCACTGATTTCTTTACTTGGAAAGCTGTTAAATAAAAGGGAAAATGTTTGTCTTGATTGGCATGCAGTGTGGGGGTCTTTCTTGGCATGTTCAGAATTACTAGATATGTACCTACAGAAAAGAGGCTTAGTGATGTGAAAAGCTGTCTGTATGCTCATAAAACCAGAAAGGGGAACATAAAACTCTAAAACTGTACTTGCCTATCTTCAATCCTTTTAGGAGTCAGAAGAAATCAAATCAAATGAATTGGATGCAAAACTCCGAGTAACTAAAGGAGAACTAGAGAAACAAATTCAGGAGAAGTCTGATCACCTGGAGGTAAATATATGGTGTGTGGAGACAACACAATTGGCAACTTAGTACTTAAGAATGCCATGAGTTTTTAATTTTGAGAATCTTATTTTAAGCTGCTTACAATTTTTGCCAAACGTTTTTCATTTTGGCCTAATACTACAGCCCAGGTGTCTGTGTCCAGCCCTGCTTTTTGGAGGATGTTTTTAGCTATTACCTTGGATGCACTTTTTAAAATCAAAGTTATGGGAAAAGGATGATATAATGAGGATGAAATAACTGCTCTTTCATTTATAAACATGAGTGTTGCTCTGATTTAGAGCACAAATTCAGATGATAAGCAGGCCTTTCTCTGACCAGCATTTTGCCAAGCTATTTGGCAAGGAGAGACAGGGAACAGCCTCTGTTCTGTGTAGACATTTGCTAGCCCAAAAGCTACATTCTCTAATGATTTAGTACCTGCTCACAGCTCGTACGTGCATATGCCATCTTCAGTTTGCCTAGAACTTTCCCAAGGGGCTGTTGTGGGTTAGATTTGTACACCTAAAACCAGAGTGTGTAATCTCACTTGTGTTCTCAGTTCTTCTGAGAATAAAGAAGCTTTTAGGCTTGGCTTTGCTTTTTGAATAAGTAAAACAAACCTTTAAGGGTACCTGTTCTGCCTTAAGCCGTCTCAGCTGTTGTGGTGGCCTGCATTGGCCTAGATTTTTTTTTGACATCCCAGGAGATGCCACTGTCTGTGTAGATTTCTCAAGGAGCTTCTCACTTTTTAAAAAGGTGCATCATGCAAAAATAAAAGAACTGGAAGACTTGAAGAGAACATTTAAAGAAGGCATGGATGAGCTTCGAACACTGAGAACAAAGGTAATGTGTGCTGTGTTGGATTGCAGTGGAGCTAAAGGTATAGTGTTGGGGTTTGGAACAAGACTATGTTCAATCTGTTAATTGTATTTTTACTTCTTTTGGAATAAACAGTGTGATTACAGACCGGCTGGTGCAAGACTAGAAGGGATATGTAACTGTGACTCTGGGTAGCCTTTCTTAGGGAGTATCAGTTGATCCATAGTACAACAATGTTTTGTTTCATGGTATGCACCTCATTTGACTGAAAAGTTGTGGGAAACATTTTAGTAAACATCTTGTAAATTTAGTAACTTTGGAAAATGAAAAATACTTGTAAACTTTTCCTACCTGTGAAGCTAGTTTTGTAGAGGTCATACATATGACCTCTGGTAAGGGGTATATACTATCCATAACTTCTGAACAGTCTATAGGTTACTGTGCCAGTCCCTCTATCCAGAGCAGGGTTTTAGCTTGAGATGATCTTAGAAAAGGGGAGGAAGACATAATACAGGGTTGGCTTTGTAACTGGGGAAAGATGACCTCTTTGGATCCTGGTCCATTAGACTGATAAGCTTTGAGTCTTTGGACAAAACTAATGTTAATCACACTTGTTTAATTTGACTTTTTTGCCTTTTTTTGTCAGTTTATTTTTCTGACTATATTTGATCTGAAATATTTGTTTCATTTGGGATATTGTTCTAAGCTACTTGGAATCACCAAAAAATAACACAGGAGCTTTGTACAACAATCTAGACACTTGATCAGAATAATTCAGCTCTGAAGTTTGAAAGAATAAATAGTTTCTGGTTTTTTTTTCCATTTAGGTAGAGAGTCTAGAGGATGAGCGTTTAAGAACAGAAGATGAGTTATCCAAGTATAAAGAAATCATTAATAGACAGAAAACTGAAATTCAGAATTTGCTGGACAGAGTCAAAACTGTAGATCGCCTGCAGGATCAACATCAGAGGTACAGCTATGCACTTTGAGGAATGATTTAAAAGATTTTATCTGGGATGTGGAAAGGGTTTTTTTTTGTTTTTTAACTGAAATTATTGATGCTTTGAAATGTATTGTAATTTGAAGAATCCCTGTCCTGATTTAAGTGTTTTTCTGATAGAAATCTTGCTAGTACTGGAGACAACCATTGTGGCCTCTTACAAGATGAGGGGATTGAGGCTGATAAGTTATATTCTTACATCTTTCATTATTAGAATAAGAAGTGCTTGCTTTCTGGCTACTCTGTAGGAAGTTATGTCTTCTAGGTGTCTGCCTGGTGCTCGTTTTATTGAAAGATTGGGGAAAAGCAACTGAACTGGAAAGATAGATTGCTTCAAAATTGAGATGGATGAATGAAAGTATTTAACAAAAACAATTTTATATATTTGGCAGATGCTTTATTCAGATAGTAGGAAGCACTTGTGTTTCTGATGGACTGGAATTCATTCTGCTGTGTCAAAGTTTGCTCATTTAAGAATGTGAGGGAAATAATCTCAGGGAAGAGTTGGGTTCGTGGATACTTCAGGAGTGTCTGAGCATAGTCATGTTTCTATATGGTACACATGGACTAGAATATCGAAATGCTATCCACTTCACTGATTCTAATGGAGTTGCATAAATGGAGATGGACAAGTGTCAGATAAGCAGAACCACCCATGTGTCCCTCCTGTGCTTTTAAACAGTTCTTATTTATCATTGAAAAATATTTCCGTGATTATATGCCTTCCTCAGGGTTTAGAGAATGAAGCATTTTCCACTTGCTGTGTGCTGGTCAGCTGTATTGGCACTGTGTTATCAGCCTTTCTAGGGAAACTGCAATCTCTTAGAGACAACTGAAACTTACAATTCAATCAATAAGTTATTTTTCACTTGGGATGTTGGCAAACGAATTAAAATAGCTGTGATCACAGTGTGAAACTACAGATGTGTTTTTCCAGTTATCTTTTCCTCTCAGTCATTAAGACATGCTTAAATATCTGTCTCTTATTCCTGTTCAATTTGGATCAATTTTTTTAAGTATCCTTCCTGTACAACACTTATTATCCCTACGTCAAGTTTCATATTGTCTTTTACTTCTCTGATGTTAACGTTTTTCCAGTATTCCTTAGAATGTTTGATAAAGTTGTGGAATCTTGACCAGAGACTTAAAATTTACACCAGTAAATTCCCATTATCATCTATGAAAGAGAAATCCTGGAATCTTGACCTCTGTTTTTCCTATTGTTGTGTAGAATAAATGAACTTACTGCCTTTCATTTTCTTGGAAGCAAATGGAAGGAATTTTATCTTAATTCACCAAAAATCTTAATCTGTTTTCGTGATGAGAGAAGAATAGAGGAGGCAGGTTTCTTTAGCCTAGGAAAGAGAAGACAGAAGAGAGACATCCTTAAATGTGTAAAAGGCTATTATAAAGGGAATGTTCAGCTATCCTTGTTCACTGGAGGAAGGATAAAAATAGAGTTTTGCAGGAAAGATGATTTTAAGTTGAATGCTGGGAAGAACTTTATGGCTGAGCTGGATACCGATTACCTCCAGTGTTGCCTGGTCTCCTTCATTGGAGACCTTTAAGGATAGCTAGAGATCTCTTTTAAGATGGTCTAAACATTTAATTTTGGCTGGTTCAACCCTGACTCTTAACTAGAGATTTCTTCTGTCATAATGAAACAACATATTTGGAAATGTAAAATAGAAGCATAGCCTTCTGGCATAGGTTTTTAAATGGGAGCTATAGGTGACATATTTTGCAGCATAAATGGTTGAAAAAAATCTGTGCTGTAGTTGTTCAGTCTTACGTCTTCTGAAAGGTAGAATTAGCCTAAAAAAGACTGTAAAGGCGGGGTGCAATACATTTGATGATATCCTTTGGTACTGCAATGCTAGCTAACTTCTGTTGTCATTAACCACATCAACTCCTCATTTTGGTAGCTGGAAGCATATAATTTATAGTAATGATGTGCTAGTAGAATTCAGTTACTTAGTTTTACAAAATTACAGTTCTCTTCTAGAATGATTAATGATTTGGATTGTCTGAGCCTCACCTCTGCTTGAAGAAACATGTTGATATGGGGTTGTTGGTTGAAAGTGAATTGAGCCTCCTGGTAATTACACTGTCTGACAGGGAATTAAATGAGATGTGTGCCCTTGCTTTGTATATAACTTTAATTTTATTTTTAAATTTGAATATACACACTCCCTGTGAGAAAGAGAGGTGAGGGTTTTTCTGTTGATGTTGGAAGGTAAGGTTTTAGAAAGTTGTAGAAAATCCTATGATTGAAGAAATGAAATAGTGAAATAATATTGCAAGAGCAAATGAGAGGAGGACGTTTTTAATCTAACTTTTTTAACAGCTATTTAGTTTTGGAATTAATTTCAATCACTTTCTCTAAAACGTTGATCATAACTGAAGATAGGGCCTTTCTTGCTCAAATGGTTTGCAAGTGATAGATCAAGTCTCCTAATGGGAGTGCTTCAGTAGAAACAAGAACTTGTTTTGTAGAGGATTGGGGGAGGGATAGTGGAGTAAGATAGGCCCTTTGAATCGGGGCTGCACTGCTTGGATAAGGATGTTTCAGAAGTCACCGTACTGCTGTCCTGGAGCAGCTCAAAACTGGAGTATTTCCCCATCTCTCAAAGACAGGTCCTCTTACAGAATGACCACCTTTGTTGGATTTGCAGACCTTCCTCTTATCTACAGGATCTGTTTTTGAGGGGTTTGTTTATACCCTATAAGCTCATGAAGTTGAATATAGAGAGATGGTCTTCCTTGAGGAAGCAATGACTGCATGTCCTTCTGTGGGATACAGATATCTGTCACTTCAGCACTGCAACATGTCATGAAATGGAATTTGCAAACTCCTTTGGTATTTAAAACCATCCAGTGACTAACAGATGCTCCAGGGTCATTAATTTGTTTCTCTGCCTTGTTTGGTCTTGACCTGAATGCTTTTATTTCAGTAAGGTTTCATATCTTTAAGCTCAGCTTATCCCTAATAAGATACAATTGTTTTGACAGAGATGAACAAGAAATCAGTGCTTTAAAGGAAGAAGTAGATGGTTTCAATTCTCTGATTGCTGATCTCCAGAAGGACATTGAAGGTAGTCGGAAAAGAGAATCTGAGCTATTGATATTCACTGAAAAATTAACCAGTAAGAATGCACAGCTTCAGTCTGAAAACAATTCCTTACAGAGCCAGTTGGATAAGCTTTCTTACAGCGAAAGAGAGCTGCAGAATCAACTGGAATGCGTTCAACAGACTAAAGATGATCTGGTGAGTACAGTGTGCAGCTTGTTTTTTGCACTAGTAAGATGCCTGATACTGGTAAAGATGTGGCGCATGAATTCCACCTTGTGTCTTTACTTACCTGACTGCAATTTCTTGCTGGGTTTGCCAGTTTGATAGAATAATAGCAGCGGGATATGAACACCTCATGTTTCTAAGGGGAAAGAAATCTTGAGGCACACTGCACTGGAATGAGGGGGTGTTACTGTGTTGCTCTTTCTGTTTTTCTGGAAGTACAGAGTTGTTCTCTGTGCAACTGTCATTGAAATAATCAAAAGGTGGTAATTTGTGAAATTTATTACTGTAAACTGTTTCTTTGGTCCTCTTTGTACTGTGAGATAAATGTAATTTTTAATTTACTGTGTCATGGAAGGTAATGTGACTGCACTGTACAGCGCTGCATGGCTGTCTACTGTATCATGTAGATGTTTTGGAGATAGTTCAGGAGTCTTACTGCAGTGTTGCACTGTGCTGCATATTCATTTGCAGTGGTAGCGTTTAGCCTAAATAATAAATGTAAAATGTGAATGATTTGCAGGTGGATAATAAAGTGCAGAGTTAGGGCTGTTGAGCATACAGTATGGTTAGGCTGGAGTGTTTTGTATATAACTGAAAATAAAACTACAATTCCAGGCCACCAAGTTGCAGAAGGAGGAGGATCAGCGAAAGCTAGAGGTTGAGACACTACAGGCTCAGCTAGCTTCAGAGCAGAAAGAACTAACAGCGCTGAAGACCCACGTAGATGAACTGAAAGATGAACTGGCTACCCAGAAGCGCAAGCATGCAGCAAACCTGAAAGACCTCACAAAACAACTTCAGCTAGGTTGAAATTATTTTCAGATTTAATGAGTCAGCCCCATCTGTAAGCCCCTTCACAGTATCTGGCAGAGACTAGGGTCCTGGCTGCGTATGCGTGCTGTTTGAGTGTAGCCCTTCAAGCTCTCCCTGTCCTAAAAGACAGAGTGAGTGAGCAAGTTAGATCATGGGGAAACTGCAGTTACAGGAAACAGGCCTTAGTGTCAATTTTCAGTCTTAAATATAACTTTTGAAATAGGCCTAGATACAAAATAAAAGATTTATTTCAAAAGAGCTTGGTCTTTGTTATCATGTATGTGACTACTGAAATGTCACTGTGGGTATATATGGATCCTGGTTTGTGTAGGAGTATATTCAAAAGTTGCTAGAAGTTTTCTAGTTGCTGACTGTATCGGGAATTGCTGGTGACAGTTACTTTTTTTAGTATATTAAACAAAGCACTTCAGTTTTTAAAGGTGGATATGGAGAGACTGATGACTAATTTGGCAACAAATAGAAATCATTAAATGCCCCATAATGCATATGCTCTGAATACAAATAGATTTGGATATAATCAAATCTGTTTGAAATGTATTTGAAAGAAGAGATCCTGTTGGCATTGTACAAGACAAGTTCCATGTTTCTCTCTGTGTATATATATGAACAGCTGTGCAGTTTCCCTCTTGATCCCTACTGAACGAGTGGTGCTTCTGGCACAAGTACTACACTCAGCTCCCAGTAGTGATACAGTTATGAGATGCCATTCTGTCATTCAGTAGTTATTTACATGGCAGTCCTAATCAAAAGTAAAATCAAATTTAAGTCTTACTGTTCCCAGTTAATCCTATGTATGATGTTACTCCCTTCAACTGGCAACTGCTGCAGGGTATAGGGATCTTGGTGGATGTTGCATCCAGGTGCTTCATGGTTGGGGGCAGGAAGAGGCAGGGAACTGCTTAGTTTTGGGGTTTTTTCCCCTAAGATTTTTAGTTGCTACCACTATCTTTCAGTTGTCAAGCCATGTTAAATTTGTGCCGGTCAGAGAGGATTAGAGTTTTTGTATGTTGTGTAACACTATGATTTTGGGGGTTTAATCTCCTGTTGGTAACCATAATTTTATTACACTTTTAAGCACGGAGGAAATTGGATCAGATGGAAAATAGTAATTACGACAAAGAAGTCAGCAGCATGGGGAGCCGTTCCAGTTCATCAGGTAATATAGCACATAGCAGGGCTGCCAAAACAATCCTTCGATCTTAATAAGGTTGCCACGGTGTGCTGCCGTGAGCCTTGCTCTTTCTGTGGTTTGTGTATATGCAGTGTGTGGGCAGCCTCCCATCAAAGCTGACAAAATAGCCTTTAAGCACCAAAATGCACTTGGCTGAATGCAGTTGTGGGTGCTTAATCTTAATACGAGATTAAAGTTTAATGTTTATAATGTTTATATGTTTTGGTTCTTTTTAAATGCCTACCTCTTTTATTTTGTTGCTTTTATGTTTGGAGGAAGCTCAGAGGACTCCAGTTTATAGAGGACCCTCTTAAATGCTGCCAGAGGGGAAACAAAAATGAGCAGTGGCTTCCAACATTGTTTAATTGCACTATTGACAGTTGCAACTGTGTAAATGATAAATCAATTACACTGATGCCTCTAAACATGCTATTTGTGTAAAATTCATTACTTTCTATCTGGTTAGAAGTAACGCAGTTATCTTTAGCACTGAAAACATCTCCTCTTTTCTTCCTCAAAATCTTTGGGTTTTAAGCATGGTTAGTTCTGTCAGTGTCCTGTAATCTCACTGTATGAGAGATGAATACTTAAGGAGAAGAACAGAAAGAAAAGAAAATATTTCAAGCTCTAAATGATCAGTGCTGCAGAGTGTTTATACATAGGGCTTTTGTCAGTCTGTACACGGTTTTCATAGTGTTGTAATTTTAGTGGATTCCAAACCAGGTATGTTTAAAATCAGCTCAGTCTTGTACGAAGTAATATTAATGAATATGAAGGTACTTATGCAGGAATAAGCATTACTGAAGCAAGCACGCTTACATTAAAGGAGCTATGCCCATGCTAGGGGACTACACTGCTGTTTCAGCATGTGTCATTTAAATGGTATAAGGATTGTTTATATAAAAACCCACTAACATATAAGGGAAACTGACATTCTGAAGAAAATATCCTAAGCCACTGAAATGTAATGAATGCATGCACTGCACTAGTGGAGACGTTTTACCTGGTATAAAAGCAAAAAGAGCTTTTACAAATGTGGATGTGTTGGCAGGGTCCCTTAATGCGCGCAGCAGCAATGAGGATCGGTCACCTGAGAATACTGGATCTTCAGTAGCTGTGGATAGCTTCCCAGAGGTGGACAAGTCTGTCTTGGTTGAAAGAATACTAAGGCTACAGAAGGCACATGCTCGAAAAAATGAAAAGATGGAGTTTATGGAGGATCACATTAAACAACTGGTGGAGGAAATCAGAAAAAAAACAAAGTATGTTCTGAGTTCTGTTCATACAGTTTTTCAGTGTTGAGCTGGTACACTAGACAAGTATTCTGGGTTTTATGTAAGACAAATTGTCTAAATGAAAATATTTAAAACAATAAAAATACTGCAGTGACAGTAAATCTCAAAGGTAGGATTAGTCTTGGGGTTTTTTCTCCTTATCTTTCCCCAGCAGTTACAGTAATTGCTGAGTTGTTTACTACTAAAATTTTTCAGGAGGAATAGAATGGTGCAGGTGTTTTTTGGTAGCAAAATGGTCACCAGGTGGCTGATTTAAGGTGGACTGCTGCCACTGGTTGTTAGAAGAGTCCATGCTCTTCATGTGCTTAAAAGGGTGCTGATTGTGTTTGTTTTGGAAGGAGAATCTGCATGATTCCAGATGCTAGTCTGGCATGCATATCAAACAAACAATGTATCTGAGCCAAAGGTGGATGGTATTTAACATGTGAGAGAAGATTCTGCTTACATGGGAATCTCATCTTACAGGGTGATGTCTGGAACTTCAGTTAGGAGGGGAAGAAATTGCGGCATATACCTTCCTCTGGAAAGTACAGTTGTCTGTTAAGTACAGCCCTTGCTTAACAAGCCTATACATTTATGCCCATCTGGTACCATTTCATAGAACATGATCACAGCCTGTGAAGACTCTTGAGCAGAGACTTTGTAATTTTTGTCTCATCTGTAGAAAGCTTAAGATTCCCTGTCTGGAGTCTTTCAGCAAGGAAAAGTGGAGAGGCATTTTTTAAGCACCGTTTTTGCTCCAGTAGCAATATTACTTTCTCAGAATACTTCCAAATATGTAAACCTTCCACACTGTAGTGACTCCGCTTACCAGCATGTCCTATAGTACTTGTGGTATCCCAGGTTTTCCTCTGACCTAGAAATCGCAGGAGTTGATTTTTACTGCATTTTCAGTAATACAGTACTGCTTGAAAATAAAATTACTCTTATATCAGGAATGTGAAGTTACCTCAATGTCTGACTTTTCACTGCCTTGTAATGCTATAATGTTTTTTTAAATTTCCCCCCCCCCAGAATTATTCAGAGTTACATTTTGCGGGAAGAAGCTGGAACACTATCATCAGAGGCCTCTGACTTCAACAAAGTACACTTGAGTAGACGAGGTGGGATTATGGCATCTCTGTACACATCTCATCCCGCAGATAGCGGTCTCACATTGGAACTCTCCTTAGAGATAAACAGGAAGCTGCAGGCTGTGTTAGAAGATACATTACTGAAAAATATTACATTGAAAGTGAGTAGCTATGCCAGTTCTTCAGCACATTCTTGTGGTTCTATGATACTGCCTTCGGAGAGATGCGTGCTGTTAAAAGGAGGAGATTTTTCAGAAGTCACCTCGTTGTGAATTGGTGATGCTGGCAGCATTGGGTTAATCCGAGTTCTGTAACATGATCCACGCTGAACCTCTGTTTTGGGACCCTCATTGTATGCTGTACTAATGGGCTGCTGCTTGAAATAAATTCTGGGCTGCCTGTGCATTCAGTGGAGAAGGGCCTCTCCATGCTCTCTCCCAGTAACGTGGAGCCAGGGGCATGGGCTCTAAATGCCTGGCCCTGTGCCAGTAGCTGCGTACCCTGTTGAGCTATTGGGGCAGCATGTCTGCTGCAAGGGAAAGGTGGCAGGCTAGAAAACGTGCAGGCTGCCAGCTGGACTGCAGTGTTCTGCAGAAGTTGGAGATCTCTTCCTGTAATTATCATTCCCCTTGAACGCTATACTTTCTAGACGGCCTGTAGAATATTAGTAACTGCAAAAAAAGACTTGCTGAGAGCTTTGCATCCTTTATTGAAATGAGTTTGGTTTTCCCCAACTCTCTCTAATCGTTTGCGCTTGTTCTGGATACTTGAAAGTATCGACCTGCTGACATAAACAGTAATTTTAATGTACTAGTGCATTTTATGCTGATTGACTCATTTTTCCCTGTATAACTTACCCTATCCTTTTTTCCCCCCCCAAAGGAAAACCTTCAAACTCTAGGAACAGAAATAGAACGGCTTATTAAACACAAGCATGAACTGGAGCAGAGAATAAAGCAGACATAACTAAAACTTTTATGGAATAACCAACATGAAGATGCAAAAAAGGCAGGTGCTACAGACCACTGTTTTTTACATTTTTCCTGAAATTTGATTGCCTGCCAGCACAAGCATCTGGTATTTTGCATATACAGCCTTTAACCATACAGACTTACTCGTGTGAGAGATCTACAGGGTTTGGCATCAGCGTGGTTCTGTCTACCTAATACCAGCCTGAGGTGTTGCTGAATTTTACTACACACTACGTTTATCTAAAACTTTTATTTGAAATGACATACAGATGCTTTGCAGTGCATACTGTGTTTTGAGGGAGTTGCAGTGAGATTTTAATTTCTGCACTGTATAATTAATCAGTCTCTTAATGATGGAGCTTGAAAAAATAAAACCAATTATGTCTTAGTTGCTGTTGAACATATCCAGTGTTACTGAGCTTTAAGGGCTTTCAGACGTTATTTCCTTTCTTGCATATTATTTCTGATACTTAGGTTGATTAAGCATTTTTGACATACGCATGGAAAAATGCTTTGTCACAAAATCTTGTTTTTTAAGTGGTGGCCATGATATTGCATATTTTCTGCTTTAGATAACATTCAACTGGTCAGTTTCTTTATTCAAAAGAAGTGAAACAACAGTAAAACTAAGGGATTAAAAGCTTTCTGATTCAATTGTTGAGTATGTAGAATTGAAACAAATGTCAATTCAACAAATACTGTAAACCCTTGATCTTTAGACATGGATCTAAAGAAGTCTGATACCAGATAACTGGTTAATAAAGTTCTCTGGCCTTCTGCATAACTAACAGCTTTTAAAAAGTAGGAGTTTTAACTGCCCGTTGTTACGTATGTACAGGTAGACATCATGATTGCATCTGTTTTCAGATGATCAGAAAATCTGTTTTCAAAAACAAATGGAAGCTAAGTTTTCTCATTTAACTGTGGCTAGACCAGCCAGTGAAAGTAATGGTAAGAAATGCAAAATATATCTAAATGGGATTTTAATCTATTGGTTGGACTGTGAAAGCGGCACAGTCGAAATCTGTGCGACTCCTTAATTTTACTTTTGTGAAGAATTAGTTGGTCAAAATGGCATGAACTGAAGAACTGTTACTTAGTCCTTCAGTGGCTGAGATGGTGATGGAGGAAGAGTATCAAGGTGACAAGATTCTGGTTAGTCACAATGTCACGTTCACATTTTACTTCCAGGATAAGTAACTTACAGGAATTGAAGTATGTCTATTCCAGCAGTAAATGCATAGATTTCTGTATTTATTGCCTTTTGACCAAAATGAATTGACCAGATCACAGTGTAAATATATACTTCGGGGTTTTATTAAATACTTGAACTTCCTATTATCATAAAAAAAGATTCAATGTACATCTACAATAGCAATGCTTTAGCGATTTTAATCAGAAAGGATACTTGGGGTGGGGAGGGAGGGGATATATCTTGCTGAAGGCACCGTTTGCATCATACACAAAACAAGAGGCCTGAATCTGGTAGCACGTGGGGGGGACAATTTATCAAAGCATCTAGGTGACTTAGGGGTGTGTACTCCATTTTCAGGTGCCACTGAGTCACTTGAGCTTTGTAATGAACCAAATTGAGCAAAAGGGCCTGATTTGGTTTGAGTAGTTTGATGCAAGACAGTGAGACTTCCTTTTTACTTTAAAGATAGGCATCTCTGAAAGTCCTTGCGGGATCAGGACCTGACTTGTGGTCCAGAGAGCTTCAGGAGTCTTGGATGGCAGGTCCTTTCAGTGTCAAAGGATTAAGTATTTCTTTAGAAAGGGAGGGTGGAAACAAATTATTTAAAACCTGACCAAGCATTGTAGACACTGTGAGCCTTTAATCCGGGTGGGTTTTTATACATGTATTTTTCTAATTCCTGAGAGCAATGGTTATCTGAAGTGTTAGGGAATTTGGACCAGTCCAGTCACAGGACTACCTCTGCTTTGCTGTTAAGTGATGTGAAGAGGAAAATACCTGGCTCTGCTGAAACAGATTTGTCACCAGCTTCCAAGAAGTGTGTTGTTTGTGACTGAACTAGAACTGCTGAAAGAAAGTATTTGGAACAATTTGCATGTCAAAACATAGCTTAGCTCTTGTATGTTTTGTGTTTTCATGCTTTAATGTACCAGATCTCTGGATATTTTCAGGCATTCAGCTGAATGGCTCCAGTATTTTAGATACCATGTTAACATTGTAATCATTTAATGTATGTTCCCAGGTGTACAATGTGAATGAAGGAGAGGTGTGGTGCAGATGGAATAAGTGCAATGACATTGTGGAAATTCTTACTTCTTTTTGGCATGGTTGTTTCTCCTTTTAAGTTATTTGAGAAACCTAGTTAGCTGTCCTGCCCTGCTGGGAATCCTACTTCCTCTCAGTAGCACTAGTAACTTTTCAGACTTTTTTTCTTGGTTATGGAGACACACAAAGCAGCCAAAATATCACATCGTTTATTGTGCACGGTATTTTCATGGACCAAAGTCGTCTTCTACAGGCGTTATTTTAAACACACCTGGTAGAGACAGAAATTTTATTCTAGCTCGCACATTGGCAAATGACTCTCTATCCAGTAAGCCCAGAATGTGATGAATACATGACAGGGTCAGCCAGCAACTTTGCTTAATGATGTTGCTCATTCCTGAGAGGCAGTGGTGTACTAGCCATGAAAATGTTGCTGGCAAGCCACTTGCCTGTTGTTTCCATGGGGTAGATCATCAGGAGTGTAGTATTGTTGGTGCATGTAACAAGAACACTTCTGTGAAAAGGTGTGTTTCTGTGGGGTGGTTCACGCAGGTGAGCAGCAGCTGGTGCAGAGTGGGTGCATGGCTTGCGTAGCAATCACATTTCACTTACCCTTGTTTTGGAAACCTTTTACGTTATGAACCTGAGATTGAAAACTGTCCTCAGATAAACTGAATTTTAGAGAGAAACTGATAAACTAATTTTGAAGGCAGTCTGGAGCAGTTAGCTACATACCTAACATTTGAAATTCAGTGTCCATTAGACATGTAATTGCCACAGGCTGCTTTTGAAAATTCCAAGCTTGTAGCTAGTTGTGTCCTGCAGGCTTAAACATCTGTTTCTTAAATACTCAGCGTGCTCTTTTATTTCAAACATCGCACATCTAGATGTTGTTAGAGGCCCCGCAGGAAAGCTGTCTATGCTTTTCCACCGTCTGTAAAATCCAGCACTGTCGTTGTCTAAAGCCAGACCCTCTGAACTGAAGAATACCATTTTATGCTGTAGAAATCACTGGCTTTCTGCCACATAGACTTGTGCAATGTTTTTAATTTTAGTCTCCAGAAAACAGTGGAGATTGAATTATTCCCCCCTCCCCCACCAATATGTTCTCATCATCTTCAGTTGTTGCTGGCAGCACCTGCAGTATCTCCAGCTACTAAAACTGAAGTTACGCTCTTGAAATATTTTTCATTACAATATTTTGGTTCATAACTAAAAAAAAAAACACCAGCCAACCAAACAAAACCAAATCAGATCTCTGGCTTCCACTGAATCGGGTGTAAAGCTGAGTGCCCACATGCTGCAGAGACCCGAATCTAGGAAGGGGGTTCAGAGAACAAGGCCTGTCTGAATGGGCCTTCACCCTTCCCGCTGTCAGTGGAAACAACTGTGATGGTAAATGTCAGCAGTAGGTGGCACTAGAAATCAGATTTACTGTGTCTCTGCTATGACCTGAAAACTGTCGAAGGGCAGACAGCTGTGTTGCAGAGGGAGCTGGGTGGTATTTAGACCTTTTCCAAGATGGATGGGGGTTTCCTTCCCGTTTTCGTGTTCTAACTGAAACTATGTTGAATCTTCCAATATATGTATGTATGTTGTCTGAATATACACAGAATGTCTATTGGTTTAATTTTGTAGATACCTGTTTCTGTATAAAGTTTTTGAAGATATCACTACACATTATGTATATATTGTACTTTGAAATGATAAACATACAACTGTGTGAAAGTCTGGTTTGGGTCTGTGGTTTGTACCATTGCTGATTTACTGCTGCCTAACTCTGGATTGCGCTGACAGCTCTCAGTGAAGGCCTGTGGTGGGGGCAGCAGGGTGCTCCGTGTCGGGTGAGCACTCATCTTTAGTGAGTGGGAGCCTCCCCTTCTCACAGGGCAGAAATGTCCTCATGATGCTTGTAAACAAGTACTCTGGGCTAAAAGCAGCTTAACTGCCAGCAAACTGTTCTTGCCAGCATGGGTGCTGGGAGGGCACCATAAAAGCCCCTTCTTGTTTCCCCTCAAGTGGATGTAACTATATATAACTACATAATATGACCTGCGGTTGGAGGCATTGGTACTACCCACAGCTTGGCAGGGCGATGCTTGCTGCCAGCCTGTACTTTTCTATTGCACTATCTAAACAAGAGGTGGCAGTGCGTCTTTGCCGCATACCTCTGGTACTATGAGTCGGTTTTAACAGCAAAGCCAGGGAAAAAAGGGCTGCACACCTTTCATACTGTACTTCATTTCTTGGAAATGGGTGAGACTTTTCCATCCGAAGGACAGGGGATAGGTGTGCTGTAACTAAGTACTGCTGTGAGCTATTGCCAATCCCAGTAAGTGGCCTTCATGCTGGAGTCCTCTTTTCCCTTCTGTTATGTGAATTTGACAAACCTATAGTCCCAGTAGCAAGGGCTGGTTCCCTTGGCCACAGCTCCACATTTGGGACACTATTTGCTGCTCTAGTTAGTTTATTCCCTTGCAGAGACCTAATGTAGTCTGATTTTTAGCCATGATATTGTTTTAAAAAAAAAATAAAAAGTGCTGTCAGATTGCTGGCTGTTCATTGTGGCTATGCTTATATTAAAAAATCTGGGAATCGGATTTGTATGGGCTGTCCTGCCCTTGCAACCTGATTGTAGGGAAATGGAAAAAAGACCATGAAGGGGATAACTTATGGGGTTTATTCCAGTATCTCCCAGAGTACCTTAAGTTAGAGAAGGAGGTGTCCTATTTTCTATTGAAATTTAATGGCAAACTACCACTAGCTTCCCAGGATCAGGGTGAGGGCTCCCAGTAAGTTTTCTGGTTACTGTTATCTGTATGACCCTTTGCTGGAATTGTTTTGCAGTTCACCCTTTTTCTTCCAGCCTTTTCCACTGATGGCAGATACAGCTCTTGCTGACAGATGGGACCAAAAATCAAGACTTACTTGTGCTCCGCAAGTACTTAGTGCTGCTGTTTGGAAACAACAGCTTGAAGCTAAACTTCCTCAAATACTAATCTTGGCTTTGGTGGTATTTGCAAGTAGCTGTTTGGTGACCAACTTCTCACCCCCATTTTACAGATAGTTCTGTATTTCAGGCTGACACAGCACAACGATATGTGCAGAGGAAGGGTTCTCACGGCACATTACTGTTAAGTCCTCAGTCGTGAAGCAAGCCAGTCTGATCCTGGGGCTGTTGGGTAATAAATATATAACCCAAGGCTAGCAGTTCACTTGTCTAGCTGACTGTGAAAGAGGAAATTGGCGCTGCTATTTTTCTCTCCCTCCCTGCTCTATTCTAAGGGGTTTTTTAATAGAGAGGTATGGTTGGGATTTTGTTGTTGTGGTTGTTTTTAGGCTATTTTGCATTAAACCACAGTGGGCCTGTGCCAGATTTTGCAAGATTTTTGCGTGCATAAATGTAACTGTTGCAGTAGACGAGTGCTGCCGAACAAGTTGTTCTCATCTAACGTGTATAAATATGCCGATAGATGTGTTTGTTGCTGTTCTGCTCTGGTGGATGCCCTGTAGTCAGGAAATCCTCCGGCCTTAAGGTTTTGCAGGGCTCTACCACATGCAGCCACCCACTGATCTCAGCGAGGCTGCTCTAATGCCTCAAGAGAAGCACCTCACTGACTAAAAGGCTGAATCCATTCTGGTCTGAATGTCTATGGGCTGCTTAAGAAGTTTCTATTTAAAAAATAATCCCACGTGTGTGGAATAAGGAAAAGCAGCAGATGAAAGCACAGAGAAGTCTGCAAGCTCTAACCAAAATGCTGGTGTTTTACACAAGGTAGGTGAGCACAGCTGTTCCCTTCGGGATGGCTGGCGAGTCCTTAAACGCTGCCCTGGGCCCTCCAACCCACAGTTCTTCAGGAACCGGTGCTGCCTTTGGAGATGGCTTGAAGCAAGGTGCGAATGTAGGGCAATATTTTTCAAGCTGTGGTGTGCAGCCCCTGCAGCCTGACAGAAGGGTTTGTGAGGCTGCACTGTGAAAGCAGCTGGTTAAAAATACTCTGAAAATGATAAGATCTGAAATTATTTTAACTCCAGTCAGCGCCTGGCACAGGGAAGAGGAAGAAGGTGAGAATCCCTTACATCAACACTGCGGGTAAAAGCAGTATATGGCCAAGTTACGGGCTGAAAAAACAAGCCTAGCGCCGGTCATCCTAAACCTGTTTAGTGGGGCTGTAAATTCCCTGGAAACTCTGGCAAGTCAAAGAGGCTGAAAAGCACTGACCTTGGGCTCACAGCTGGTAAGCTATTAATGCTGTAAGTAGCTTGTACTAATCAGCTGGTCTGGCTTCACCATAGTAATTAGATTATCAGAGAAATATTGATTAGATGGACTCTGGAAAATGTTTAAGGGCTTCACCCTTCCAGAGAAGGATGTGGAAGGCATCTTCAGCCATAACCTGAAGTGAGAAATGAGAACAAGCTGCTGTCAGCTTGTCATGGGCTTACAGTCAGGAGTGACACAGGCTGCTGGCAATTGGGCTCTCGATGCACTTTCCCTGGTCCCTTCCTCTTGCCATGTGTCTGATCTGGCCCTAGGGCTCAATCAACCAGCGGGGGACGGCTTGTGTAGGGGACAGGACTGTCCCAGGGGTGAGGTTATCGCCGATTGCTGTCCACCTGCTCCCAAGCTGTGTGGTTATTCGACTGTTCAAGCAGCTCCTGACCCACTGGAGGTCACTGCTCAGCCTTTTGAGGCAAAACAAGGAGTATGTGTTTTCCCTGGCAATGCCGCACTGTGACCTGCAGTGTGTCGGAGGTGGTTGCACAGCTCCCACATCCTCCATGCTGCGGAGACAGAGCTCCTTGAGCAAGGCAGGATGGCTGGCAGCAAAACCCCTGCACGGCTCCAGGTAAACCCTCCCCCAGCATCCACAGCCCCTTGTTTCACTTGGCTTTAATCAGACATTTCTGGGCTCTAGAAAGATCCAGCTGGAGCCAAGCAGGCATTTTCCATCAGTAAGGACTGGCGGAGGAAAGCCTCTGCTTCATAAACCAGTCTGGTGAAGTGAGCAGCCATCTCGGTATCTGTGGTCCCGGATGCTGTGCTTCGAAGCCCTTGTGGTTTTTCTTAGGCCGTGCAACCCCGATACCAAATGCATGGAGACGGGCTGCCGGCAGGGAATGACTACCACACTGGCACTTCACAAATGTAGGTGTACCTCTAAACCAGGACCTGATAAAACAGGTTGGATAAAGTTACCTTTGCTCCTCAGGCAGGTGAAGCCCTTGGAAAAGAGATGTGACAGATTTGGCAGTAAGCCTGTAGCACGAGGCTCGCAGATTACATTTTTTTGTTGCCTGAATTACGTCAAACCATTTCCCTCTCTCAGACTTTCCTTGCAATCTTCCAAGGCTGCTTGTTGACGGTGAAAGACCAGTCAACTATTTCAAACTGATTTGACCTTGCTTGGGTTGGTGACAGAGCCCAGACCTTGCTGGTAGTGGTCACCTTGTAATGCCAAGTCCACTGCAGGGTGTCTCTCATTAAAGACAATGTTTAGGCAACCACAAGCCATGCTGAGGCACGGTGGTGGGCGAGCTCCCTCCCATCGTGCTGAAGGAGAGTGTGATTTAGCTTTCCTCGGCTTTGGTGGTAGCTGAAACAATAGAAATGTCCCCAAAGGCCCGGGCATGCAAGCCAGTAGTGTTTCTCTAAAGAGCAATAAATGGAGGCACTTATGTTTGTTTAATTGTGTATCAGAGCAAACACTGGAAAAAACCCAAACCAACTAGCCCTCCCAACCCAAAGCAGCGAGTTTACCACCAACTGCTGGGGGAGGTTTCTGCCAAGAAAGCAGCCTTGGATCAGAGAGCAAGGAAGCGAGGCCCTTCCAAAGGGTGACTCAGAGCAGCCTTGCAAGCTCCTGCGCTGGTGCCCTGTCCCTGCCGTGCTGGACTGGAGCATGGCAGAGCAGCTCCCGGCCAGGCACCGTTCTCTGTGCGGATGCCTTGTGACTAGCGAGGAGCCCATCTCAAACACGGCTGCTGGGGAGGTCAGCTGTGGTCCTGATCCCTCATATAGATATTAAGATGAAAAATTCATACATTTTCCAACATGAGATGGTTCCTTCAATTTTTCTGTCTTCTGACCACCAGGGACCTGAGACATGCAACAGCACAGGGATGTTGAAGGACCTCCTGTTCCCTTACCAACCTGCTGTCTCAGCAGCTAGCGCAAACCTTTGAGCAGGGACAAAGTCAGCCAGAGTAGTCAAAGCAGGACTGGA